GATATAGGGAGTGAGAGGAAATGGAGAGCCATTCATGTTTTGATATAAAAGTTAAACTGAATGAAGTTGAGAGGACTTTCCTTCCAAGTAGCTTGTGCTATAAGGAGTCATGGTTTAATCTGAAACCTGGGAAGAAAAAAAAAATTAAAAAAAAAATCACACAATGGCAGTGGCAACTTCCTAGTAGCAGTTCAAAAATTGGAAGTATGAGCAAAAAGACTTAAATGGAAAACTCTTGAAAAGGATGGCTTGTGACTTCTAATGGGGTTTCCATTGTGGACTACAGCTGACAGGGTACTGTAGTTCTTGAAATAACAACACAGACTAGATCTGATCCTTCTGTATGAAATGATTTGGGCGCTTTTGCAAGCGAAAAAGCAGGAACGTGGCCTACTCTGGGAAACATAAAACAGAGGGACAGCAGTGTTTTAATTCTTCCAATGCTTTTTTCTTTTAATCCTCCGTTCCTGAATTCATATGACTGTGTGAGGCTATCAAATTTCATATGAGTAAGGGGGACTAAATTTATAGCCCTGGTGTTGTCCAAGACTTCCACTGCAAACATGAACTCTGAAGGTTCAAACAGAAAGCAAAAAGTCCCAGTTTTATCATTAAAACTTGTATTTTAAAATCCTTGGAGTTGTCCATAATGTGAAAGTTGTAATGCAAGTGTTACACAGAAAAATGACAAGAAATTGTGATGTTATTTCCTGTTCTATATACCTGACATGGGCCAGACTTACAAAACGGTAAAGCACTGTATCATTTAAGTTAAGCTCATAACCAGACTTCCTTTATAAGCTATGTTTCCAATTCCCTCTTCCCTCATACTTAACTGCCTCCACACTACTGGATTTTGTTCTAGCGGTTTCTGACCTGGTATTTCCATGTCTGCTCTCAGACTTGGGGTCAATATGAAGGGAAAATTCCCTTATGTCAATATGCCTGTGGAGATATCAGATCTAATGGAAGTATTTCAAGCACATAGGTCAATATAAGGCTTGTTTCTTTCTTAAAATGCTTTTTCCTGAAACATGAGAAATAAACCTTAATTTTGCATTGGGTTTTCTATTAAAATTTGGTGGTAGCGTAAATGAAAATTAGTCCTCCCTTGGATTTTGCAGCATAAAATATGTGGCTTTCATCTTCAAAGCCACAACAGACTGTTCTGAATGTTCTGTCTTTTGTGGCCTGATAGAATTAATAAAATATGCACATGCTTCATTTCTAATATGTGTTTTAATTTAATCTCATAACAAGAAGATTGGTGGAAGAGAAGCAGGCCCTGTGTTGGAGCAATGAGAACAAATCTCTAGATTTTTCTTTAAGTGCTAAATGTTTGGATTTATGTCTTTTCTTTCACATTATTTCCTTTTGTCCTAATTTACTTGTACTTATGTCCATGTTTTCCCTGGAGGGAACTGTGAAGAAAGGATTCAGAGTTCTCTCTAATTATAGTGTATTGCTGTTATAATGATTAATGTGCCTCAGCAGAAAAATATCTCAAGACAGTTGTGTCTGAAACTGGGCTTTGCTGTTTGTTTGGGGTTTTTTAAGTTCAGAGACCCTTCACTCAGTTTTGTGCATTTGTTGGTAGGTCAGTAAGTCTGAGCCATCTCAGATCAATTATGAAAATGGAGAAAATTTCTAGACATGAAGGAGCATATGCAGTTATGAGAAACAATTTTATTAACTTAGGAAAGGCCAGTGAAATCGAGGAAGGAGGAGTGACCAACCTAATCTATTTTCTCTGCTCAGAAGTAGAGCCTTTAAACTGACTCCAGCTCATGCAGTATTAAAAGTGTGCTTGGCTAAAGGTCTTCAGTTTGAAATCTATCAGAATTTCTTTCATTTCTTTTTCGTGAGATACTGTCCTTTCTTTAGTGCTCTTATAACCCTTTTTTTTTTCCCCCAGACTGAAGCTGTGACTCTTCTACCAAGGAAGCCTCAGTTAGCAGTTTTTCAAACCAATAATAGTAGAGGGATAGACTGAATTCAGAACAGTGAAGAAACACTTAGCAGACATAGTTTACAAATTAACTGACCACAGTAATGGGATGCATTAAGGGAGGTCCTTCACTTTTGCTATTTGAGATGGCCAGCTGGGAGACTTTGTTGCTTCCCCAGCAGTGGCCTTCTTGCTGTGTGGTGCAGCCTGTTTCCTTGCCTGTCCAGTCTCGTGCTTATTGTGCCTTTTATCTGTGTGCTGCTGGGGGTCTGGTTTGATGTTCAACAGTAAAACATCTAGTAACTTCATTGTTTGTGTATCTGCTCAGCTGATTCTTTAATTGGCTAAGTAAGTTAGTTCAATCCAGTTGGCGGCCGGTCACGAGCGGTGTTCCCCAGGGCTCAGTATTGGGGCCAGTTCTGTTCAATATCTTTATCAATGATCTGGATGAGGGGATCGAGTGCACCCTCAGTAAGTTTGCAGACGACACCAAGTTGGGTGGCAGTGTGGATCTGCTTGAGGGTAGGAAGGCTCTGCAGAGGGACCTGGACAGGCTGGATCGATGGGCTGAGGCCAACTGTATGAGGTTCAGCAAGGCCAAGTGCCGGGTCCTGCACTTCGGCCACAACAACCCCATGCAGCGCTACAGGCTTGGGGAAGAGTGGCTGGAAAGCTGCCTGGC